TGGGGCATCTGTGTGGTTTGTAAGCCCTGGTTGTTGTGAATTCTGTCTGAAGAACTTGAGCTTTTTTTCATTGAAGTTTAAGCAAGATCATTTTGTACTTAGTCTTTTTTTTGGAGAAGAACTTGGTTCAGTAGTACTCTCTTTTATCTTGAACATAGTTCTCTTCCATTGGATCTGTATTTTGATCTTTTGCCCTCAAAATTTATGATCCGTATATATACAGTGAAAACTGAAATTTTATTTTTTTCTGCGAAGATGCCTTTGTACTGATTAACACCCTCAAGACTCTTTTTATGACGGCAGGGACTAAGGTCTGTGTCTCGGTGTCTAGCACGAAATAAACAACCAGTGTGATTTTGCTCAGTATGCCGTGACATTATGATTAGGTCGAGGTCCCAAGGGTTTTAAGCCTCGTTGGTGCTTTTGGCGACTGATCTTCACCTCTTTAACTTTATAGCCTTTGGAGCAGAGGATGAGAAGGTGGACCAGAACATAGTGCTTGGGGGAGAGACACAGAATCAAAGCAGGTTCTGGTTTGAGATAAAGGAATGGGGAATAGGGCAGGGATATGCAGGGAGCTGTTGAGTTTTTTTCCCATTTCTTGTGAGACACTTTTTGTTACCTGGCTTGGGGAGTTCAGCCCATCTCGAGTGAGGTAGACGACTTACGGTGTCGCGTTCACTCCAGCACATGAGACTGCACGGCGTTTTACTAAACTCTTGGCTCTCCTCTCCCCCCTTAGGACACTTACTGCAGGATCCCATCGCACCCACCAACTCCACCTGCCAGCACTATGTCTGCAAACCGTGTAAAGGCAAGAGGATGATGATGAAGCCCTCGTGCAGCTGGTGCAAAGACTATGAGCAGTTTGAGGAGAACAAGCAGTTGAGCATCCTGGTGAACTGCTACAAAAAACTGTGTGAATATATAACGCAGACTGCACTGGCCCGGGACATCATAGAAGCGGTCGACTGCTCTTCCGATATTTTGGCTTTGCTTAACGACGGGTCGTTCTTTGGTGAGGAGACAGAAAAGCCCTCCGACTCCTCCTTCACTTTGTGTTTGACACATTCCCCTTTGCCTTCGACCTCAGAGCCCACGACTGATCCTCAGGCTGGTTTGTCTCCGATGTCTGAGAGCACCCTCAGCATTGCCATCGGCAGTTCTGTCATCAATGGCTTGCCTCCTTACAACGGGCTCTCGATAGACAGGTTGGGCATAAATCTTCCTTCGCCTGAACATTCAGACACGACTGATGTGTGCAACACTGTTGACATAAAAACTGAGGATCTGTCGGACAGTCTGCCACCCGTGTGTGACACGGTCGCCACTGACTTGTGCTCCACAGGCATTGATATCTGCAGTTTCAGTGAAGATATAAAACCGGGCGACTCGCTGTTACTGAGTGTTGAGGAAGTGCTCCGCAGTTTGGAAACTGTTTCAAATACAGAGGTTTGTTGCCCTAATTTGCAGCCGAACTTGGAAGCCACTGTATCTAATGGCCCTTTTCTGCAGCTTTCGTCCCAGTCTCTTAGCCATAATGTTTTTATGTCCACCAGTCCTGCACTTCATGGGTTATCATGTACAGCAGCAACTCCGAAGGTAGCAAAATTGAATAGAAAGCGATCCAGATCAGAAAGTGACAGCGAGAAAGTTCAGCCACTTCCCATTTCTACCATTATCCGAGGCCCGACACTGGGAGCTTCTGCTCCTGTGACCGTGAAAAGGGAGAGCAAAATTTCTCTGCAGCCTATAGCGACTGTTCCCAATGGAGGCGCAACACCCAAGATCAGCAAAACTGTGCTTTTATCTACTAAAAGCATGAAGAAGAGTCATGAACATGGATCCAAGAAATCTCACTCTAAAACCAAGCCAGGTATTCTAAAAAAAGACAAAGCAGTCAAGGAGAAGATTCCTAGTCATCATTTTATGCCAGGAAGTCCTACCAAGACTGTGTACAAAAAACCCCAGGAAAAAAAAGGGTGTAAATGTGGGCGTGCTACTCAAAATCCAAGTGTTCTTACATGCCGAGGCCAACGCTGCCCTT